GTAGTTTTCAAATGGGTGGGACTACAACCCCCATCTGGCTATGGGGGCTGATGGGAATTGTAGTCTGACACACCTGGAAAGCACCAGCTTGGGGAAAACTGAGTTAAATAAGATGTCTGGGCGTGGCACATTTGTCACGGCCTTTTGAAAACTGGTTAAAAGTGTGGTGTCTAACAGAGCTTTCAGTATTACTCCTTGATATAAAGAAAGATGTCCAGTTGGTTTGGTTTCTAAATGTGGGTATATATTTGATATGATGAATGCATTTTAAATGCTACATTCTGGGGTTTTTTCTTTCACATGGCTGTATCTTCTTTTTTCCAGTGGCATCATAGCATCCCTTCACACAGTTAAAACTGGTGTGCCAGCTGCAAACATACCTCGAAAAGCCTGACTTGGCCATGGTGGTCCATGCCTTAGTGACATCTATAATGGACTGCTACAATGCACTCTATTTGAAGACGGCTCAGAAACTGCATTTAGTGCAAAGGTTGCCAGCCAGATCACTAACTGGGGCTTATAATAGGGAGCATACTATACCCCTATTAATGCAGCTCCACTGGCTGCCAACAAGTTTCCAAATCCAATTCAAAGTGCAGGTTAGTGCCTATAAAGCCCTATACGCTTTCTTCAAGACCGCATCTCCTTTAATGAATTGGTGCGAGCGCTAAGATCTGCCAGAGAGGCCCTCCTCTTAGTCCCACCCCATCTCTGGTGGGTGGGGATGAGAGAAAGGGCCTTTTTGGTGGTGGCCCCTGGCTTAGGCCCCACTCTCCAAGCTTTCCGGACACAATTGAAAACATGGTTTTTTGAACAAGCCTTTGGACCATGATTAGTACCTTAATAACTAAACCCAAGGACCTAGTGATTGATTCGCTTTAGCACTTTATGGGACTGATACTATACACAGCCTGTTTATATCCACAGTCTTTGCTGCATTTGTTGAGTTTTAAATTGATAGAGTTTGTATATTTTATGTCATGTAAATTTACTTCATTATTGATTTATATGTTTATGTACCTTGTTGTATTTTGAGTGCTGCTCCACTATTGTGTGTGTTTTCGTGAGCCACTCCAAATCTCTTTGGGGAGATGATAATAAAGTATTTTATTGTTGTTGTTGTTGTTGTTGTTGTTATTATTATTATTATTATTATTATTATTATTATTATTATTATCTTTGTTTTGGAATACAACTCCCACAAGCTTTGGACAGCCTTGCCAATGGCCAGGGCCCATGAGAGTTATAGTACAAAACATCTGGAGGGCCGGTGGTTCCAGAAACAAGAGTAACTCTAAATCAGTGGTTTTCAATGTGTGGATCCCCAGGTGTTTTGGCCTACAACTCCCAGAAATCACAGCCAGTTTACCAACTGGTTCTAAATAGAAGCTGTGATTGTGTTCTTGGCAGCCCAAAGGTGTAGAAAATAAGCTAAACAAGTGAAGTACTATGAGAAATAGGGGGCTGACCAACAAGGTCCCAGAATGGTCAGCTTACATGAGAACCAGGAGCAAAAGGTCATTTGCTATACACAGAAGAGGAACTGAAAGGAATGAAGGGGAAACCACGGTGTTTCTAAGCAAGTCCTTGGGTTTACAAAGAGACTTTAGGTTTACCACTCCATATGGGAAACACATGGTTACAAACTGATTCAAGTCATCGTGAGAGTGAGCATAGCTTCAGTCTTTGTTTTTCGCTCTCTCTCTTTCTATGAATGTGTCAATTTCCAGGACACAGTTGAGTTTAGGGATTGTAGAAGAATGGGGAATATTGTATGAGGGACACCTTCATATGTGCAATGGACCACATGCTAGTGCAAACTGCGAAGGGATTTCTCATTCTTCTCTCAGAATGAGGTGGCAGTAATGAATGCTTCTGACTCTAGAGGTCCAGAGGTGAATCTACACTGAAGAATTAATGCAGTTTGATGCCACATGAACGGCGATGGCTCAATCCTATGCACTTTGGTGAGATCCCAGCATTCTTTGTCAGAGGAGGCTAAAGAACTGGCAAAACTATAACTCCCATAGGTCTCTATACCATTGAGCCATAGCAGTTAACGTGGTGTCAAACTGCATTCATTCTAAAGTGTAGATGCACTCAGAGACAGCACAAAGACAGTAAAGTACATGCTACCTCTGACCTCTCCTTGTTCTTTTGCAGAGTGAGAACTAAGATCACTGTGCTAATACTGGGCACATCTACACTTAAGTTGGTTCCAAATTGGAATAGCAGAAACTAATTCCACTGTGAGAATTATTAGACTGACCTCTATGCAACAGGTTTGAAGCCCAGGTGGCAGTGAAGCAACCACAGAGGGTAGCCAACTGGTCCCAACAATTACAGTATCTACGGCTTGGCAGCCATAGAGAATGTGGTTCATTTTCTCACTCCCTCTGCAGCAATGTGCATGTGCATATCAGTAGAACGCTTTGGGTAACCACACAATGATTCACATTCTATGGAGTCACGTTCACCATGCAATATCATTTATCCTTGAGTGTGCTGATGCACATTACAGGCTCTATTTTAACATATCCTCTGACTTTGCTTATCTCTGTTTAAAGGACTTGAAGCGTGCTGCAGCTTCACAACATTGTGTTGTAAATCTGATTCCAAGCTGCATTAAATGGTCAGTGTTTGTTGTTTATTTGTTCAGTCACTTTCAAGTCTTCATAACCTCATGGACCAGCCCATGCCAGAGCTCCCTGTTGGCCATCTCCAACCGTAGCTCCTTGAGCCAGTCACTTCAAGGATAACATCCATCCATCTTGCCCTTAGTTGGCCCCTCTACCTTTTTCTTTTCATTTTCCCCAGCATTGTTATCTTCTCCAAGCTTTCCTGTCTTCTCATTATGTGGCCAAAATACTTCATCTTTGCCTCTAATATCTTTCGCTCCAGTGAGCAGTCAGGCTTTATTTCCTGCAGTATGGACTGGTTGGAACATCTCGTGGTCCAAGGCACTCTCAGAATTTTCTTTCAATACCACAGTTCAAAAGTGTATATCTTCCTCCACTCAGCATTCCTTATGTTCCAGCTCTCACATAGATAGGTTACTATGGGGAATTACTTACTTTCTTAGGTGATCTCTCATTGCCCAAGGAGGATTGTCTTTCAAGATTGATGTACTAGTGGTGGGTACGTAGGTGACTGTGGAGCTCTATTCTTGATCTGCATGTTCTCCCGCAGTGAGGGCATTGATTTTCAGGTGGAAGGCAATCCTGGTCGGGGTTGGCTTGACACGCTTTCCTCTTGGCACATTTCTCTTTTTGCCCTCCATTCATGCTTCTTCAAATTCTACAGCACTACTTCTAGATGGATCACTCAAGGGCCAGGGCTTCCCAGTTCTCAGTGTCTATGCCACAGTTTTTAAGGTTGGCTTTGAGCCCATCTTTAAATCGCTTTTCCTGTCCACCAACATTCTGTTTTCCATTCTTGAGTTCAGAGTAGAGCAACTGCTTTGGGAGACGGTGGTCAGGCATCCGGACAACGCGGCCGGTCCAGCGGAGTTGATGGCAGAGGACCATCATTTCAGTGCTGGTGGTCTTTGCTCCTTCCAGCACGCTGACATTTGTCCACTTGTCTTCCCAAGAGATTTGCAGGATTTTTCAGAGGCAACGCTGAATCGTTCCAGGAGTTGCATGTGACGTCTGTAGATAGTCCATGTCTTGCAGGCGTATAGCAGGGATGGGAGGACAATAGATTTATAAACAAGCACCTTGGTATCCCTACGGATGTCCTGGTCCTCAAACACTCTCTGCTTCATTTGGAAAAATGCTGCACTCACAGAGCTCAGGCGGTGTTGTATTTCAGTGACAATGTTGACTTTTGTAGAGAGGTGGTGCCAAGGTAGCGGAAATGATCAACATTTTCTAATGTTACACCATTAAGCTGCATTTCTGGCATTGGAGAGGGATTGGCTGGTGGGGAATACCATTGCTTTAACTATGTGGATGGAGCTCCAGTGGCACAATGAGTTAAACCCTTGTGGTGGTAGGACTGAAGACTGACAGGTTGCAGGTTCGAATCCAGGGAGAGCGCAGATGAGCTCTCTCTGTCAGCTCCAGCTCCCCGTGCATGGACATGAGAGAAGCCTCCCACAAGAATGGTAAAACATCAAACCGCCGGGCGTCCCCTGGGCAACGTCCTTGCAGACAGCCAATTCTCTCACACCAGAAGCAACTTGCAGTTTCTCAAGTTGCTCTTGACATGCAAAAAACCCAACAAACTATGTGGATCCTCATTGCCAGTGTGATGTCTCTACTCTTAGTGTAGATGGGGCCTAAATGGGCCTTCGAATTGATTTATGGTCTCATTCCCAGCCCCATGAGCTATTGGTGCAGACCATAAAGGGTCTCCATAGGACTCCCTTACCTCAAAATGGGAATCCAGTGTTCCCTCACTTATTGCGGGGGTTCAGTTCCAGGACCCTCCACAATAAGTGAAAATCTGCGAAGTAGGGACACCAGATTAATTTCAATATTTATACATTATTTTATATATTATTTTCTTACCTGCACTTCCTTACCCATCTCCCGGCCCATCCCAAGGGCACCTGCCTGCCTCCCTGGCCTCCACAGATCCCTGCAAAGCCTCTGGAGCCATGCAGGTAGCAGCAGGCTAGGGAGGCAGGCCTTCCCCGCTGCACCTCAGGCTGCTGCACTTCTGGGGTCTGTGGCGGCCAGGGAGGCTGATCTTCTCCACCACATCTTAGGCCACCGCACTTCTGAGGTCCTTACCCTCCACTGGACGTACATATTTTATATTTTATATTCATAATTTCAAAAACCCGCGAAACAGCGAGTCCACTAAAAGCGAACCGCGAGGTAGCGAAGGAGCACTGTATATGGAAACTGAAGTAAAGCAGACACTGTATGACAAATATGAATATATTTTAGAAGTAGAGATTCCCTTTTGCACCTGGGGGTGTGGAACTGGGTGCTCAGCATCATCTGAGTCATTTTAATTTCTCTTTCTTGTGAGCTGAGCTACAACAGGATCTTCCATGGAGATGAGAGTGGAGTGTGATAAAGCTTAAGGATGGGGAAGGATGTATTGCAAAGGCTTTTGATTTTCACGTCTCTTTATTTTACCTCATGAGTCATATCATCATGTTCTCAAGAGCTGAGTAACTGCCGGGTCTATTTTTACTCTAGTTCAGCAGGCTTTCTTTCCTCAGCGGCTGCTACAGCTGAAGAGCCGAAGGACACGAGGCTGGTGAGTTGGGGGCCATGGATGGCTTATTATGAGAGACGGGACTGGGTGGTGATGCTTTCTGGCAAGGAGGGGGGGGGGTAGCCTTGCATAGTTAGGAAAGAATAATATGCTAATATCCAAAGGAACAGAATAGGATGTGACACACATCTCATAAATGTATATATATTCACACAGAGAAAGAGTTATATTTGGGGGTGGCGCAGGGGATGGGCAAAGGGGAGGTATTTCTTTCCAGTGCTATTTGGGGACTTTGGAAAAAATAACGAAAGAAAGCAGGACATTTTTCCTCCCAACAAAACAGGAAAGATATGGTGGGGAAAGGAGGAGGGGGATAGATAGCATCAAATGCTCCTCAACAATGGACAGGGGTGGGTGGGGGAGAGTTGCATTGTTTCCTAAATATGGGGAGGGACAGAATGAATAGAACTGTGAATATATCTCTGCAGGAGGTGGTTTTTAATCCCTTGTTCGTAAAAGCATTCAAGTATCAGAGCATGCTGCACTTCTGTGGAAAACTGGCCTCCTCCCCTCACCCCAAGAGACATCTTTATTTCCCTGTGCATCTTTCTCTCATGCTCATGGACATACACACACACTTACATTCATTGAAATCTACAGAATAATCCTATATTATATCATAGGGAGTGGAGAAATGCAATGCCCTTATGTCAGTGGAACAGCCATTGCACCCTCTAGTCCAGCGTTTCTCAACCTGGGGGTCAGGACCCCTGGGTGGGTCGCAAGGGGGTGTCAGTGGGGTCACCAAAGACCATCAGAAAACACAGTACTTTCTGTTGGTCATTGGGTTTCTGAGTGGGAAGTTTGGCCCAAGTCTGTCGTTGGTGGGGTACAGAATGCTCTTTGATTATAGATGAACTATAAATCCCAGCAACTACAACTCCCAAATGTCAAGGTCTATTTCCCCCCAAACTCCACCACTGTTCACATTTGGGCATATTGAGTATTCGTGCCAAGATTGGTCCAGATCCATCATTGTTTGAGTCCACAGTGCTCTCTGGATATCGGTGAACTACAACTCCAAAACTCAAGGTCAATGCCCACCAAACCCTTCCAGTGTGTTCTGTTAGTCATAGGAGTTCTGTGTGCCAAGACTGATACAATTCTATCGTTGGTGGAGTTCAGAATGCTCTTTGATTGTAGGTGAACTATAAATCCCAGCAACTACAACTCCCAAATGACAATATCAACCCCCCCCCCCAACCCCACTAGTATTCAAATTTAGGCATATCAGGTATGTGTGCCCAATTTGGTCCAGTGAATTAAAATACATCCTGCATATCAAATATTTACATTACAATTTATAACAGTAACACAATGACAGTTATGAAGTAGCAACAAAAATAATGTTATGTTGGGGGTCACCACAACATGAGGCACTATATTAAGGGGTCACGGCATTAGGAAGGTAGAGAAACACTGCTCTATATGCCCTCAACCTGGGAAGAGTAATGAAAAGACACCCTGAAGAACATTTGAAAAGGGCAGACATCATCTCTGAAAATATCACCAGCATCCTCCAATGAGAGACTGCTGGCAATGATGCCTACCTGCTCCCTACACCCATATGTGGAGGCAGCCCATGAATTTGTAGCAGGGACATGTCCCCAAGCAGTCATATACCAAAGAGGGTGATGCCACAGTGTTCCTCAGAAGCTCAACTTTTGGCACAGAACCCCAGTACTGCAACTCCCCAGGTACCACTCCAAAGAGGACATACCCTTCAACACATATAAACCAGTTCGCATGTGGCCCAGTAACATCAGAGTGTGGTTACAATGCCAAAAGTTATTAATGAGAAAGAAGACACAAGCAAGGAGTGCCTGCAGTAGTTTACTTTTGCCCAAGCCTGCTGGGAATAGCAAGATTCTGCTCTCTACATTTCTCTCCCTCACCTGCCAAGTTAACCAAGTCCAAACTACTTTTGTATTTCAGTTTTCAGTGGCTAAAGTAAGCTGAGGACTAAGGGGGAAAGGGGGAGAAAGGGAAAGAAACTGGGTATTTCTAAACCAGCTGAAAATATTATCCCAGTCAAATCAGGACAGTGGGTTGCTATAAGTTTTTCAGGCTGTATGGCCATGGACCAGAAGCATTCTCTCCTGATGTTTCACCCACATCTATGGCAGGCATCCTCAGAGGTTGAGGGGTCTGTTGCAAACTAAGTAAGAGAGGTTTATATATCTGTGGAATGTACAGGGTGGGAGAAAGAACTCTTGTCTGCTTGAAGCATGTGTGAATGTTGCAATTTGCCACCTTGATTAGTATTTAATGGCCTTGCAGTTTCAAGGCCTGGCTTGTTGCTGACTTGGCGAATCCTTTGTTGGGAAGTGTTAGCTGGCCCTGACTGATTCCTGTCTGGAATTCCCCTGCTTTTTGAGTGTTCCTCTTTATGTACTGTCCTGATTTTAGAGGTTTTTTTAATACACATTAATAAGCATGTGGATAATTTCAACAGAAAGGAGGAAACTATGAAAATTAACAAAATCTGGTTAAAACAGTAAATAAAGAACTACACTCAAAAAACAGGGGAATTCCAGACTAGAATCAATCAGGGCCAGCTAACTCCTCCCAACAAATGATTCACCCAGGCAGCAATGAGCCAGGTCTTGAAACTGCAAGGCCATTAAATGCTAATCAAGGTGGCCAATTGCAACATTCACACATGCCTCAAGCAAGCAAGAGTTCTTTCTCCCACCCTGGACTTTCCACAGATATTAGTTTCCAACAGACCCCTCAACCTCTGAGGATGCCTGTCATAGATGTGGGCAAAGCGTCAGGAGTGAATGCTTCTGGAACATGGCCATACAGCCTGAAAAATGCGCAGCAACCCAGTGATTCCGACCATGGAAGCCTTTGACAACACATTGACTCAAGACAGTTGAAGGATATGTTGTAACTATGGGGGAAGAAGGATGAAGGGCAGTTTTCACACCTCAAATTAAGAAATGTGCCCCACCAAATGGAATTTTCCTTCCGTGTCCCAAATTTTTCACACTGCAGAGAGAAACTGGGACGTTTTAAAAACAGCTCAAAAAAATGAGACCACAGAGGATTAAACAGGACTCTCCCTGCCAAATCAGGACATTTGGAGGGTACAGGGAACCCAGAGCTTGAAAGTAACACATGATAAGCAATCCAGTTACTCCAAATTCTTTATGTTAGGGATAGGGGAGTCACATTTCCAAAGTAATAGAACAAGTGGGGATGAAGTTACTTTACTGATATAATACATAGCATTTTCTTATGTTTGTTTTTAAAAGACATTTTAGTGATATCTCAACAGATGCATTCTCTCATCACTCTGAAGTTACACTTAGAAATGAAGCAATATATGGCACGGGCAGTTTATTTTCCAAAGCAATGCATATTACAACAATTAAAAAGTTAATTTTGTATATCTGGGAGCATTGGAATTCCATTCAGCACCTCACAGATATTGAAGGGCGACATAAACAAGGTGAAGGAAGGCGAACTCACACAAGAGGACACTCCACCTGAGCACTGCCCTGGGCACACAGCCTCCTTGGAGAAGGCTCCAAGACCTCTCTATGGAGGGTAAGGCTGTTTGGTGGCATGAGAGCATGGAGATCCAGATAGATCAGCATGCTATAAAAATAGCTGTAGTGCACAGACTATGGCAAGGGTGCATTGTAAAATCTGAAGCACAAGCTCTCTCCATGACAACCACATACATAGTAGTAGTTTGTAAGGCTTCATCTTGTGGTCGTATGCCTTTTCATCATTTTCAACTGATGGCTAGCCTAAGACAAACAACCCTATTCCAGTGTTTCCTTGGGAAGAACTGTTCAGAAGGGGCTGCCACTGCTCTCTTCTCTAACTGACAGAGTGGGAATTGCTCAAAGGCACCCAGTGGGTTGCTGTGATTTTTCTGGGCTGTATGGCCATGTTCCAGAAGCATTCTCTCCTGACGTTTCGCCCACATCTATGCCAGGCATCCTCAGAGGTTGTGAGGCAAGTGTGAATATTGCAATTGGCCACCTTGATTTGCATGTAATTGAAGCCGATAGTCGACAACATAATTGCCTTGTAGCTGCAAAGCCTGGCTGATTGCTGCCTGGGGGAATCCGTTGTTGGGTGCTGTTAACTGGCCCTGATTGATTCTTGTCTGGAATTCCCCTGTTTTGTTTTGTTTTGTTTTTGTGTGTGTAGTTCTTTATTTACTGTCCTGATTTTAGAGGGTTTTTTAAATACTTGTAGCCAGATTTTGTATGGCTAATTGCGACATTCACACTTGTCTCAAGCAGACAAGAGTTCTTTCTCCCAGTCTGGACATTCCACAGATATATAAACCTCACTTGCCTAGTTTCCAACAGACCTCACAATGCCTGCCATAGATGTGGGCAAAGCGTCAGGAGAGAATGCTTCTGGAACATGACCATACAGCCTGAAAAACTCACAGCAACCCAGTGGTTTTCCAAGGTGGAGCAAGGATTCAAACCTTGGTCTCCCAGAGTCATAGTCTGCTCTTAGTTCTTGCTGACTCTTTCTGTGTACAGTTAATGTGCCTTAGTAGCCCTTTCAAGCATCCTTTCCATCTGAGATAGCTAATACCCCAGAGGACAGGATCAGAATTCAAAATGGCCTTACAGACTAGTTTGGCTGGAGAGAGAGAAAATCTAACATAAGCTTTCATGAATTTACACTGAAACCATCAGATGCACAAAACCTTGTATCAGATGAAATGGACAAGTCCATGAAAGCTTATACTAGCATTTCTCTTTCTCAGTCCCAAAAGTGCTGCAGATTTTGAGGGTATAATTTTATGCTGATACAGAGTAGAACTGCTATGTCTTTGAATAGTATTATAATGGGTTGCTGTGAGTTCTCCGAGCTGTATGGCCATGTTCCAGAAGCATTATCTCCTGATGTTTCACCTACAACTATGGCAGGCATCCTCAGAGATTGTGAGTTGTGCTGTAAAACTGGCAAGTGGGGTTTATATATTATAAATTATTGTAATG